TTTTTCTTAACATTTTCATATAGCCTTACATTTCACTGTTTTTTAAACTATATTCTATTTTTTTCCTTTTTGAATCTTTAAAAAAAAAAATTCTTCACCCCCCCCCCCCACCTCCCTGCTGCCTACAAAGGGCACCAGGCAGTTCTGAGGAATTACAGGCTTACTCATCAGTAAACATCTAAATGTGACAAGTACTATAAAGGAAAAGGCAAAGAGAATCCTATGATGCTTCAGCAACAATAAATGGCTTTTGAGACAGCACCATAAAGGAACATACTGTAGGTATTATCATGAAGCATTAGGGCCCAAATCTATCCAACAAAGATCTGTCTCCGAAGTTTCAAAGGAAGGTGGCTACAGCTTGAGATCTGATGTTAGTTTGGTCAGTTTTTGCTCTAGTTTGCGGCCACAGATGTTCAGCAGAATCTGAGAAGTGAAAGTCCAAATCCCAGGATAAAGATCTGCCCCTCTTTGTAATGCTGACACTTAAACTATTATTGAGAAGAACCTTTTTCTTTCTTTCTTTTTTTGGGGGGGAGGGAGGGGGAAGAATCTCCAAGTCATTTTCAAGCACTGGGGGTGTGTGTGTGTGTGTGTGTGTGTGTGTGTGTGTGTGTGTGTGTGGTGTGTGTGTATGTGTGTGTGTATCTGTAGGGGATGGTGCCTATTTTAAAAGTGCCTTTAGTATTTATAGCACAGATGCATGTTGTCTAACATTTTAGCAAATACTCCACTAAAAGGAGAGAGCTTCTATATGGGCAAAATGTTATGTTCCTTGGTAAATTCCAGGGGGTGGAAGTTGTTTAGACAGAGCTATTCAGAATTTGAAACAGTAGCCTGATGCAGTTCTCTTTTTTTTAAAAATCATTCCAAAGATACTGAGGCAGCTTGGAGCCCAATAATTATAAATGAGGGAATGGCAATGTATTGGGCATTCTTAGTACTCTGGGTAACTTGGAGAAAAAGTGAATGCTGAGAAGAGCTGTTAGTAGGAATTTCAATGGCCTGGGCAGGAGCCACAAAGTATAGCTAGGGCATGAGGCACAAAGTATTTCATCCACTCAGTAGAAGACAGAGGGCAATGGAAGCTACTGGGCAGGGAAGCTGGCATGGTGAGCCACTGATGTCATGGAATGAGAGAGAGTGAGCAGTATGGGATGACTCCAAGTTACAAACCTGAGTAACTGGAAGAATGGAGATGTCCTCAACAGAAATAGGAAAGTTAGGGGAGAGGGTAAGGTTAAGAGATAAGATGATGAATTCCATTTTGGTCACACTAAGTTTGTCTATGGGACATCCTGCTTGGATTGCCCAATAGGCAGTTGGTGATGTGAGAGTAGAACTCTGAGTGATTAAATAGATAGATAGATAGATGGATAGATAGATAGATAGATAGATAGATAGATAGATAGATAGATAGATAGATAGATCTGGGGATCTTCTGTAAAAGTTGTAACAATACCCATTAGAGCTTATGAGGTCACCAGTGAGAGAGTATTTAGAGGAGAGAGCATAGGTCAGAACCTTCAGAGACACCCACAGTTAGATGATGGGATATAGATAATGATCCAGCAAGCAGACACAGGAAGGCATGATAGGTAGGAGCAGAATTAAGAAGAAGCAGTGTCAAGGAGGAAAGAGTAGTCCACAGGTTTACATTCAAATAATTCACTATCTTCCTTTCTTGCCCTCCCTTCACCTACTCCTCTGTCTCCCTCTACCATGCCCCATAGAGTACCCAGAGAGGAAGAACAAGACTATATATGGCTTATACGAGTTGGGAGTCACCAAATCTAATCTTTCCTATGAGATGGAGGACCAGCAAGCCTTACTATTTTCCCTCCCACTGTATTCTAAAATCATCTGGGCCTTACTATTTACCTTGCTTCTATGTCCTTCAGACCCCTGGGCACAGTCATCTGGCTTGCTGATGTACCCAAAGGAACTTTGTAAGTACTGAATTGAATTACATTCAAAATGGCATCATTAATAAGTTGGTGATGGGTAAGTAGAACTGAATAGCATGATTTAATCAGAAGAGTGAAGGAAACAACAAATTACTTCATTAATGTAAGACAAGAGAAGCCTAGCTGTATGTAGAGAGCAAAACAAACAAGTTAAAAAACTAAAACCAACTGTGGATGTCATAGTGGACCACACTGAGCCATTAACATACTGCCATGATTGAAGAGTGACTATAGGTACATTGATGAAACAGCTGGTGCATGGCATGCATTCCAAGAACTATGAGGTCATTCTCACACTATATTCAAGACCTTAATAAAGTAATGTGTTCCACCTCAGGTCTCAGACAATTGAGCAATGGGGTTCTAGAAGAAGGCACAAAAGAAAGCAGACAAATTGATGGAACAGTTATGGCTTATGAAGCTGGCATGGTGCTCACTGCTCTCTGTCAGCTAGTGATCATGCCTTATTTATATTGGAGGCAAGATAAATGCCATGGAAGTTAAACCCTTATCACTAGTAGAGCTTCTCATGTTCAGTAGGGGCCATATTAGCTGTATAGTCCTTGAAGTAAAGGTGACAACCTGTTCGTAGTCTCTGTAGACAAAGCCCGGACATGAAAGAGAGTGTGGGTTGAATTTTCCTCTCTTAAAGAGTGAACTTGGAAGCATCCACTAGGGCTAAGGACATGTCACCTGCATGATTACAAATCCCCCGTATTTCAATCTTCAATCAATGTAGATATCACTGAAATAGGGAAGATTGAATCAAACTTCAGATATATTTTTGTCCACAAATCTTTAGATCAGTGAAGTAGAGATAACATTAAATTTTGGAAGAGCTTCTACCACTCAAATCTAAGTCTCCAGGCACTAATATCTGCCCCCAAGCTCTAGAGTCACATTTCCAAATATCTGCTTCAACAGCCACCCCTAAATGTCCTAAGTGCACCTCAGACTCACCATGTCTAAAACAGAACTTAATTATCTTTCCCACAAAACCTATTTCTCCTTTTAATTTCTTTATTTCTACCAGTGGCACCACAGTCATACTGGACTACAGGACTGAGAGTGAAAAGGTTCTTTAGATATCATCTGTGAGGAAGTTAAAGTCCAAAGAGATCAAGCCATTTACCTCTGGTCACATAGGAAAGAAGTTGTAGGGCTAGGATTCAAACATAGGTGCTCAATTTCAAGCCCAAAGCACTTTCCACTCTACCATACTCTTTTATTCATGTGCAACTTATTCATATAATCTTTGATTTTTCCTTCTCCCTTATCTCTCTGATCCAATCAGTTGGTAAATCTGGTTGGAACTACCTGGATCATAGATCTAAAGGTAGAAAGGTCCTCACACCATCACCATCATCAACATCATCATCATCACTATCACCATCACCATCATTATCAGTATTATTATATCTGGTCTAATCTCTTCTTCTTACAGATAAGGACACTGAGGCCCAGAAAAGTTAAAAATTGCCTAAAGTCACAAAGGTAGAAATTCCCTGAGTGAGAATTTGAACCTAGGGCTTCTGACTCTAATCAGTGCTCCTTTCACTATACCCCTCTTTGTTTCAACCATGTACAATGAATTTGAATGACCTTTGACTCTTCCTTCTACCTCACCTCCCTTATTCAATCATTCAACAAGCCTTGGTGATTCTCCCCCTGCAACTTCTCTCCCATCCATCACCTGCTGTCCATTGTGATCGCCACCACTCTATTAGCAGCAGGCACCACCATCTTCCTGAATCAGTGTAATGGTCTCCTAACTGGTTCCCTTGCTTCTAGGCTTTCCCTCCTCCAATTCATCCTTCCATCACACTGCTGCCACATTAATCTTTCCAGTGCAGTTTACTACTCAAAATCATGTCAGTGATCCCCATTTCTCCCCAAATTAAATTAAGACTCTTTAACCCAGCACTGGGGCCTTCTACAGTCTGATATCATTCTTCCCTTTCAGTATTTCCCAGCACGGAGCCCACTTTAGTCAGAACACACTACCTGTCATCCTTTGTATGGAGCCTCTACTTTCCCACCTCCTTGACTTTTTTCATAATATTCCTGACATCAAACATTCTCTTCTGTTCATTTCTACCTCGTGAAATGAGCAGCTAGGTGGTGTAGTGGAGAGAGCACTGTGCCTGGAGTCAGGAAAACTGGAGTTCAAATCCAACCTCAGACACTTACTGGCTACGGGAGCCTGGGCAAGCCATTTAGCCACTGTTTACCTTAGTTTCCCCAACTGTTGAGTGGAGATGATAACAGCACCTGCCTCTCAGGATTGCTGTGAATGTGACCCTGGGCAAGTTACTTAAACTCTGCTTGCCTCAGTTTCCTCAACTGTTAAGTGGGGATAATAACAGCACTTAACTCCCAGGGTTGTTGCGAGCATCAAACAAGATGTCAATTATAAAGTGTTTAACACAGTATCTAGCACATAGAAAGTACCATATGAATATTAATTATTGAGGGGCGGAGCCAAGGTGGCAGAGTGAAAGCAATGACTTGCTTGAGCTCTCCCCCAAACCCCTCTAAATACTCATAAAAAATGGCTCTAAACAAATTCTGAAGCAGCAGAACCCACAAAAAGACAGAGTGAAACAAATTTCCAGCCCAAGACAACCTGGATGATTGATCAGAAAGGTGTATCTCGCCGGGCCGGGAGAGCAGCGCAGCATGGGTACACAGGCCGCAGCAAACCTGGAGCAGGCCTCAGAGGACTGAATCGCGGGCAGCTGTGGAGGTTTCCAGACTCCTCAATCCATGAATGCCACAGACAACTTAGAAGGTCAGTGGGAAAAGTCTGTTTCTGTCGGTGCTCAGAGAGGAAGGCGGGGTTTCAGCTCCATTCCCCAAGAGACTGGTGGGGGGGGGGGCAGCTGCTTCCCGAGCTTCCAGCCCACAGACTGAGGGGGAATCCAGTGGCTGATCAGAGAGGGATTGCAGGGATCTCTTTGCCAGTGCTGAGGCAGGAATCTGTTGCTTTGCCTGTGTGTGGATCTGGGCCACAGTTCTGGGTGGCAGTGCTGGGGTGAGGAGGAGCGCTGGCGTGGTAGAGCTTGTAGTGGCTGTGGAGAGAAACCCTCCTCACAATTACAGGACAGAAAGGAGTACTTGTGGTCACAGGCCAGGAAAGGAGTAAACACCTCGCCCCTTATCATACCACCTTGCAAGAACTGAAAATTTACAGGTCCCTACAAGTATCTCTGAAAACAGCTACACAAACCCCTGAAGCTTGGGACAGTACACTCTCCACATTGGAAGCAGACTCTTACCTTAACAAGGAGTTTAAAACTCAAGGAATTGGCAGGGATCATGAGCAAGCAGTGCAAAAAGAGTCAGACTATATTATCTTACTTTGGTGAAAAAGAAGATCAAAATATACAACCAGAAGACAACAAAATCAAAGCTCCTACATCCAAAGCCTCCAAGAAAAATATGAATCAGTCCCAGGCCTTGGAAGAGCTCAAAAGGGATTTTGAGAAGCAAGTAAGGGAAGTAGAGGAAAAACTGGGGAGAGAAATGAGAGTGATGCAAGAAAATCATGAAAAACAAGTCAATAGCGTCCTAAAGGAGACCCAAAAAAATACTGAAGAAAATAACACCTTAAAAAACAGCCTAACCCAAATGGCAAAAGAGGTCCAAAAAGCCAATGAGGAGAAAAATGCCCTAAAAAGAAAAATTGGCCAAATGGAAAAGGAAGTCCAAAAGATTACTGAAGAAAATACTTCCTTAAAAATTAGAATAGAGCAATTGGAAGCTAGTGACTTTATGAGAAATCAAGACACTGTAAAACAAATTCAAAAGAATGAAAAATTAGAAAACAATGTGAAATATCTCATTGGAAAAACAACTGACCTGGAAAATAGATCCAGGAGAGAGAATCTGAATATTAATTATTATCATTGTTGTCACTTGTTCTCCAATACCCAGTCAATGCTACATCGTCTCTGAACTTTTCTGTGGTCTGTCTAATCAAATTTTTCTTTTTCGGGAAGCTTTCGTAGCACTGCATGCCTCCTTTATGTATTTATCTCATTCAATTCAACATTAAATACTCTTTTGTTATGTAGGGATAGAACATTTGTGCATGTTTTGCATTCCTCATACAAGACCCTAAGTTCCCTGAAGACAAAGACTACATTACTACTATGCTTCCAGACGTAAAGGCTTCAAAAAAATTCTTCTTCTTAATTTAATTTAACCCGTATTTAATAAATTTCTCTTTTGTGCTTCACAGCTAATGCTGAGGTACTGCAGAAAGTATATTGGCCTGGAATTTAAGAAGACTGGGTTTTGATCCTGGATCTGCCTTGAGATATTGAACAAAAAATTTAATTTTTGTGGATTCTCAGTTTCCTCACTTGCAAATGAGAAGAATGGTCCTTTCTACCTCTAAAATTTTATGCTTTATTATTCCATACTACCAACAAACATTACAATGCTCTGTATATATATATGAGATTCTTAACACCCCCTGACCCTCAGTTTCCCTTTCTCAAAAAAGAAAATAACAATATGCATACAAACTTTCTTCACAAGGTTGTTATGGGAAAGGTATTTTGTCAATCTTAAAACACTATATTTGTGTTATTATTGTTGTTGCTGTTGTTATAATTGTTACTATTATTTTGTCTGCACCTGTGATTTTATTAGTGTGGAAATTCCCCCCCTCAATATAGATGAGCAATTCATCTACAATGCCTTAGGAAACAAAAGGTTGAGTGGCTTTTCTATGGTTATATAACTACTATGTGTCAGACACAGGACTTGAACCCAGGTCTTCTTTACTCCAAGGCTGGCCCTCTATGTACTAAGCCAAATTACACTACTTCTCCGTACAAATAATAAAGGCAATATTCTTTTTCATTTAATTAATTCGGGTTAAGTAACTTGCCCAGGATCACACAGCTAGTAAGACTTTGAGACTGGATTTGAACTCAGGTCCTCTTGAACTTCATGGCAGGTGCTTGATCTCCTATGCCACCTAGCTGCCCCAATAGCAATACTCTAAATAGTAATGATCGGACATGGTTGCTAGATTGAATCAAAGCTGAAAGGATCCAAATATCTTTCTCCCCATTAAACTCTTTTATCATATGTCCCTTTCTTAAACACCAGAAACATTCATCCAAAGTATCTCGTTCTGGATATTTTCTCTCTACTGTTTGTCTTAAGCAGTAGATTTTGAGTTTTCATCTTCATCCTTCCCCTTTACAGCTTCTAACTCTAACAAGATTCCTGAAGTCCTTCTAGGGTCCTAATAATTTGTTTTAAATTAGAAAACTACTTCCCTTGCCTGTATCTCCCTTGAATAGTTCAGCCCCTCTGTTCCTATCAGATTGGGAAATGAACCACACACATTATCTGATTATGCTGTCCCTGGGGTTTCTCCTGTGCCATCTCCTAAACCTATGGCATCTGTCTCTTAATTTTAGACTCTTAACTTCGTTCAAAATGCTCCAGAAATCCCTTCCTCTTCCCTGAGACTTTCCAAACTAAGGACAAGTAAAATGATGATTTCCTCCAAACACCACCCTTCTTTGAAAAGGCAAGATCCATGATTCACTCCATGTTCTACTATAAACATAAGATGGGGGGGGGGTTCATAAGGTGAATTTTCCTAGATATTATTTGCCTTGAATGTACATATTACTGGACATTCTCATTACCATATTGATTAGGCCACGATCCTATTTCTTCAAATTTTTGGCAACATTATTCTTCAGGGACTTGAAATAAAATAATATTGACTAGAATTTGTATAGTCACTTTAGGTTTGCAAAGCACTTCACAGGTGCTTCCAATATGATCTTCATAATAACCCTATGAGTTAGGTGCTATTAGTTATACCCATTTTATAGATGAGAAAGCTAAGACTAAGAGAAGTTAAGTAACTTGCTCCATGGTCACGCAGCTAATAAGAGGCTGAATCGGGATTTAAATTCATGTCTTCCCAACTCTAAATCTAATACCTCACCACCTAGCAGTCTTCCTAAGTTCTCTCCTGATGTTTTTTTCATGGTGTAAAGGTAACACTAGATTCCACAAGACCAGAAGCTCTGGTAGGTCTGAATAGTGTAATAAAAATCTTCACTAAAATGTTGAATATTTTTTATCCTTGACATATAAAATCAATGATAGTAGGCTTATAAAATGTATAGATGACACAAAGATGTCAGGAGTAGATAAAACATTGTTGGCAAATGGAGACAGGATCCAAAAATATCTCCTAGCCTAGTGCATTGGGCCAACTTGAATGAGATGGAATATAATAAGAATAAGTGTTAAAGTCTTACACTTGGGTTCAGAAAAAAATGACTCCATGAGGACAAGATGGGGTAGGCATGTTAAGATAGTTTGTCTGAAGAAAATCTAGGGGATATAGCATACTACAAGCTCAAAAGGTAACTATTTGTTGGGTATGTTGTAAAGGACATTATTTTCCAGGTATGGGTTGGACTAGACGGTCTCCTGTCTGATTCTCTGATTTTTGAACTTCATTCTAACAATATTCTCGGGGACCAGGTGAGAAGACCTCAAAGACATCATGCTTTAGAGATGCAATATCTCATTCTAGGTATTTCTTGTATAGACACTGTTAATTACCTCTCTCAGTTTCCTTGATGTTTCTGAATTTATATTATGCTTTCTTCCATTTTGTGAATGAGCATTGCTAGGTATGGCAGGGAGAATAAAAGAAAAAGGGATTGGGTGCTGCTCTGGTATCCAGTGCACCTGGACAGGATGGCACCAGGAAGGTGAAAGGGGGCCCAGGAGATTAGAAATCCAGGTGCAGGCAACAGCTTGAGCTTGATATTGCACAGGGATTAGTTAGGACTGATGAGCTCAACATCCTAAACTAGGGGATCATTCATTTTATTTTCGTTTTATTTCATTCAGAGTAAACCAGGGTATGAGCCAGAGGCTTTCTAACAAGGTAAGCTCCAGATTCCATTTTAACCTTTCCGCCAAGAAATCAATGGGGCCCTAGAATTCCTTACAATCCTTTTCTTTTGCAGCTACTCTCCTATCTGCTGACTGTTTCTGCTCCTCAAGAACACTAGCTGTTTTCCTAGCAATCTCTTTTTCAAAAACCACAGTCTGAGATTGGAAGGGACCCAAGAAATCATCTAGTCTTACCTATGCCAGGATTCCCTCTACAGAATCCTTGAAAAATAGTCATGCAATGAGAGGCAAAAGAGGACTTACTACCTCCCAATGAGACCTTTCAGTGGCAGCTTTAATTATTAACACATTTTTGCTTCCTTTGGTCCACAACCCACCCTATCAGCCTCTTCTACCCTATTGTTCCTATCTTAGGTCCTCTGAGGCCAAGTAGAACAACTGCTACTTTTTTTGCCCCATGGCAGATCTTCAGATACTTGAAGTCAACTATTCTGCTGCCCCATCAAACATGGCCATTTCCTTCAACTGATCTTTGTATGACATCAGTTCTATTACCCCCCCATCACTTTGGTCCCCCTCTACTGGGCATGAATCACCTTTACAATCCCCTGTTATGGATCTACATATTTTGCCAGATGAATCTTTCCATGGGAACTTTCCAGTAATCTAGACTAAGCATTAACACAGATAGCCCCCAACCTCTAATGTCCTTTGTCTCCTCGGGCTGCTCTCTGATTATTACATTCATTTTTTTTTAGCTCTGGTACAAACATTTCATATCATTCTCTATTAAGTTGCTCACTCACCCTCCTAAGACACCTTATGTGGACTGAAAAAGCCTAGTTTCTCAAGGAGCCTATGGTACCAAAATTACACTGGGTCCTGCGAGATGAATCATCGGGGATCATGTTATCTGACCTGCTACTGTGTGGGCGTGTAATGTATGGGAATGATTTTTTGTAACTCACAAAGCCATTACTATGCTGACACTCACAAATATCTGTTCCCATTGCACTAGGGTAAAGGGGGCCAAGTGTATCTGGTGGTAGACTGACCGATCATTCAGAACTAATGAATATGAAGTGGGCTTGTAATTGTTGTTTAGTTATGTCTGACTGTAACTCCATTTGGGGCTTTCTTAGCAAAGATACTACAATGG